TTTTGCTTAATATGAAAATCTGTTTTCATTTTTAATTCATTCTTGCTCATTGTAAAAAGTTCAAACTTCCTTTTAAAAACAAATAAAAATGGACCTTTTTATTTGGATGATTATGTAAACTGCTCTTTTTTACCTCACTGCTTACCTTGGATAACTTTCCATGCTGTGCATATACTAGTACATCCATCTCATCTTTTCTAACAGCTGCTGAATCTTCCACTAGATGCACAGACTAGAATTAATGTAACAACTCCCTCTAACTGGACACTTGGATGGTTTCAAAAGTTTTAATATTCTAAACATACTGCAATAAGTATCTTTTTACATACATCTGTGGCTATTATTTGATAAGGGTAAGTTCCTAGATTTCGAATTCCTGGGTCAATACTTAAATTATTATATGCATGACAGTTTGCATTCCAGAAAGCCTGAATCAATCTACAGTTCCACCAACAATGTATTAAAATACTCATTTCACCCACTCTTACCAATCTTTGGAATCTCTCTCAATCCAATAGGCAGAAGATTCTAATTTGTTTTAAAATTTTAAAAATATCTCCCAAGGGACTACTAGACTTATCAACTAGCTCCCCTGAACTCATTTTTGCTAGCTTACATTTGACCAGAGAAGGGAATACTAGGGTATTTCAAAGTCAAAGTTCTAAGACATATATACGAAATACAATCTATACCAATTCATTCACCAACAAGGTATGCAAAATAAGAATTCTCAGTAAATTCCAAATAACATTTGCATGGAAATCACAAGAATGAAGAAGCAGCTTAAGTTGCTGCCTGAGAGATGAATTCCTTTGAAATATGGGCAATACCCTTGAGGTATTTCAATAAATGGGATCTAAGGCCTCAATACTTAGAAGAGAGGAAAGCTGGTTAATGACATATATATGAAGTGAGTCAGAAGGCAGGATGGTCTTAAAAACTGGATGTGCCCGGGCACATACTATATTAGAAAGAAAACCAAGTAAGGTGTCTGAAGAGACTAGGCAGGAGTATGATGAAACTAAACCAGGAATATTTCCCTTTAAAAACTACTCTTTCTGATGTAATCTACTTGGCAGGGTCTTCAATACTCTTTCTTGACAGGCATTAATGACGTCATGATGGATGAGGTGGCGTAATGGGGAGACTACTAGTAAAAAATGCACCTCTCCCTTTAAAAATTATTCATAGGTAATTAGGGACAACCTTTATTGTTTTTTTTGAAAGACAATCTCGAGCAATGCTTCTCAAAGTGTGGTTCCCAATCAGCAGCATAAGCATCATCTGGGGACTTGTTAGGAATGCAAATTCCCAGGGCCCACTCCAGGCCAAAACTCTGGGGTTGGGGCTAGTAATCTGTGTCTTAACAAGTCTTCCAAGTGATTCTTCTGCATTGCCCTCAGTGTTTAAGTAATTAAGTTATTTACTTATTTTACTGTCAATGTTTTCAAGGCATTCTTTCCTGTTTCAAATTAGTTAACTTTCTGAAGTTTGGAAAATACAAAAAGGATAAAAAATTACGGAAGACATGGATTGTTTAAAGACATCTTCCTAAACAGAATATAGTGCTTTAAACAGAATTCTGTATCTGGCGTTGTGAAGTGCATGTTTTAGCAGGGGACGGGGGCCTGTTTTATGTGAAATAAAATCGCTTTTTCCAGGATGAGAATTCCTACAGTCCTTCACAGATGGTCTACATATTTCCATAAAATTGTATCTACTCTCAGTTTGTTTGTCATTTGACTCATCTGCATAGGCTTATTATGACAAAATGTCATCTTAACCAAAGAAAATATTTTTCTAAAACATCTCTGAAAAGAGATCAAAGGTTTTGACACAGGCTTTAAAGAGACTGTTATGCACATGTTGAAAAACTATATGATTTTTCCTAGGGGTAGGGGCAGTGGGATGTGTTTGAGTAATATCTTGTCAATGTGTTTCTCTGCATAGTCAGAAAAAGTCTTTCTCCAAAACTCTGTGGAAGATATATGTTTATATGTTCAACTTTTTAAGAAAGTGTCAAAGAGTTATCCAAAGTGGTCGTACCATTTTACATTCCCACCAGCAGTGTAAGCAAACACAAACTTTCCCTCATTTTCACCAACAGTTGGTATGGTGGACGGGAGCTTGGTATGGTGGCCATTCTACTAGATCTGCAGGTGTCTCTTATGGTGATTTTAATACGAATTTCCCTAATCACTAATGATGTTGAGCATCTTCTCATGTGCTTGTTTTCCATTTGTATATCTTCTGATCCAATTATTCCACTTTTTTTTGAATTTCAAAAGAAATAAAATGTTTATACAAAGACATGGATCCTTGTTATAGACTGAATTGTGTCCCCACCAAATTTATAGGTTGAATTTCTAACCCCAATGTGTCTGTATTTGGAGATGGGGCCTATAAGGAAATAATTAAGATTAAATGAAGTGATAAGGGTGGGATCTTGATACAAAAGTTTAGTGTCCTCATAAGAAGAAACATCACAGAACTTGTGTTTCCCCCCACACTTCTCAACAAAGAAGCAGACACAGTGGGCTGGCAGCCACTTATAAGCCAGGGAGAGAGGTTTCACCAGAAAGCTACTATGCTGGCACCTGATCTTGGACTTGCAGCATCCAAAATTGTGAGAAAATAAGTGTCTGTTGTTAAAGCCATCTAGTCTATGGTGTTTTGTTATGGCAACCTGAGCTTACTAGTACAATCCTCAGAGCAGGATTTGTAATATTTATATCATTTGTAATAGTAAAAAATTGGAAATTACACAAATAAATGGGTAAACAATTGTTGTAGGTACATATAAATGAATACTACTGAGCAATTCAAATGGATAAACAATTAATATACACAACATGGATAAACCTCAAAATAATTATGCTGAGCAAAACAAACCAGGCCTCCTCCCCCCCAAAAAAATAAAGAGTTGAGACCATGATTCCATTTGTATAACACTCTAGAAAATACGGAAAATCTAGTGACAAAAAGCAGATTGGAGGTTATCTGGGAGGTGAGATGTGGCGAGGATCAGGTGGAAGAAATCATAAAGTTACAGAAGGAAATTTTATGGGTGAAGGATATGTTTACTAGCTTGATTTTGGTGATGGTTTAATGAGTATATACATAGATCAAAATGTATCAAATTTTACTTTAAATATATGCAGTTTATTGTATATCAATGGCTCATTAACACTTTTTATTTTAACCGGTGGAATCTTCCCATTATCTCTAGGAAACTCCAATTTTGTGTTTAAATGGATTTTTTTTCTTTGCTCCATCCCTGATAAAGAAATGGAAAGGAAAATGCCTCACTCAGAAAAGTCTGTCATATGTACAGGGCTTCATGGCTTTGTACTTTTCATTGTGAGGAGCCTGAAATGAAAATAATTGCTGCCTCACCCCCAAGCCCCAGCCTTGCCATCACCATTCAAGGTGAAACAAAAATCCCCAGAATCAAAGGACATAAATCAGGTGGCAACAAGACTCAAAACTGGAAAAATAAATTACTATACTTGGCCCTATCTTTTGTTTTTTGCAAACTAAGGAGGCTCTCCTGAATATGATGATAATGAATGAAAATCTGCTATGAAAATTTTCAATCCCTTTTGGCAATTTGTGCCTGGAGCATTATATTACAGAAAAGAAAAGCCTCCAGGAGCAAAGATGCTAAACCCAGAATAAATAATGTGCCCGCTCATGTAACGCAAAATTTGGACAATACAACCCAAAGTTGAACATAGAATTTGATTAGAAACTCAAAAACTGCTTCTGTTTCACAGAAAGACTGGAAGATAAAATAGTTTTGAGTCATAGCTTTACGTCAAGTTCATACCAAACATGGCAGGTTTGAATCGCACTTTGGGGGTTGTGCTCTCCATGTTTAGATGGAGCTGCTATAGCAGGGAAAAAGGCTTCCCACAGAAGGTTCTTTGTGGCAAATCACTATGGAAGGAAACTCCCTCCCAAGTCACAAATTGTTCATTTCCGGTCTACTGTGCCGCGGATGCCAGCTTTAAAATTTTTATTATTTTATTCTTAAGGTACTATTTTTAAGGCATTTTAAGCAATTCAAAACTATGTCTGATGCCAAAGCTCTTGTACTTTCTAATAGGAAATACAGGGTAGAGAAGTTTTCTGGGAGGCCTACCCTCAGCTCTGCTCCGTGTCCCCCCGCGTGTCTCCAGGAACCACGACGACGCGCATTAATTAACTCGAGGCTGGTTCCCAGCGGGAGAGCACAGATTGCACCTGCTGCGAAGGCCCAGCCTCTCGCGGCTCAGCTCGGGCTGTCTGTGCACGCACCTGAGGACCCACCAGGGGTCACTGCAGCCTCAGAGCTATTGTGCCCGCGGGTTCCGGACACGGCCGTCCGCGAGGAGGGCGTGGGACCAGGAGCGCGGAAAGCCAGGGTCCTAGCAGGAATGCGCCCAGCCCTAGCTGAGCCTGCCTCCCCGTCTCCCTGGGAAACGGACGCTTCGAGCGGGGCCGGGGCTCCCGGCGGCCTCGTGGCTCCAGCGCCCGGCTCGGTTCCCGGTGCGGACCTGTCGGCACTTCGCCATTAGACTACCTCCGCTCCGCCCTCCGCCCCCAGCCGAGACCCCGCCCAGAAGGGGCGCCCCGGGGCCGGCTGCTGGGCCCTCGCTTTGCTCCAGAGGTTTTTGCCGACACCGGGGCCCGACCCAGCAGTACCTGGGCTGCTCCCCGCCCGGGGCGCCACACCTCCAGCGTCGGTGAAGAACTTTCCCCCAGAAGCCGACGGGGGCCTGGGAGCCCTAGGGGGGCACCCGCAAAAAGAAAATGTACTAAATTCCGAGACCCCATACCTGATACTAAATTAAAATTAATTCGACACGTAGGTAAAGCAAAATAGTATGAGGATTAGGAGATGACGCAGAGA